TTGCAACAATTGCGAGCACTTGCTGTTTGTTCAGTCCTTCGGCTTTCAAAGCCTCAACGACCCCTTGAAGATGTTCATTGGGACCAATGCCTACCCTACCTTGTTCTTACCGCTCGCCTTCACTTTGCGAAGGGATTGGGTCACTATATCAGAACAGAGTCCGGTTGTTGTCGACATGTCATTGCCCAAACCGAAGATAGCTTTAGGTTGGCCATTTTCGATTACAACTTGCCCCAAGATTGGGGAGCCTTTTGGCATGAAATATCTGGCATGTGATGTGGTCGATGACGGAGCCAATATCCCAAAGGCTAAATCTGCCACTGTTCTCTAAAGATCTTTGATCAAGCTCATCAGCTCAGAAGTAATGCGTTCATGGGTTTGAGATGATTGGGGTACAAGTGCATCCATCATGCATAAGTCCATGCTTTCTGGGATAAACACCTCAGGCTTTGGTAGGTGGGTCGGGGTGTTGTATATGCTGGGGTTGTAGGTAGATGGCAGTGTATGGATGAGATTGAGATGTGGAGGTAATAGGTTAAGGGTGGCTTGAGGTCCTTTTCGTGGAGCCATGATCTCTTCATCAATAAGATCCTGAATCTTATGACGGAGGCAGATGCAACGGTTCATATCATGACCGTGTTGTTAATGATGGGCACCGTATTTAACTGGGTCATATCTTGGTGGAAAAGGATTTGGAAGGGGTTGGGGTTCTAGGAGTTTTAGATACCCATTTTCTTGCAGCATTCTCAAAGCTTGAGAGAGACTCATATAAAAAGGATTGAAATTCTAGGCTTGAGGCCGAGTTGAAATGGTTGGTTTTTGGCTATTGAGGGGAGTGGTGATTGTGTTTACTTCTGAGCATTTCGTAGCTGTGCTACCATCGGTAGTAGCATTGGAACTGCGAAAAACATTCTTCTTCAAAGGCTCATTATCTTCCACAAAGATCCCTTTTCTGATGGCATCCTCGATTTGAACCCCAATTTCATAGAGCCCTAGAAAGGTAAACAGAGGTAGAATGATCATCTTCTGCAGCAACTTGCCATACAGATTCTAAACATTCATCCTAATCTGATCTTTTTTTGGAAGGCCTTGTAGTCATCATCGAGGCCTTTGCTCTCCATCTCGTCAGGAACTCTAAGAAACCCTCTTTTGGCCCTTGGCGGGTGACTATAAGATCACGAGTTGTGACCTTGATCTGTATGTTGTAAGAGTATTGAGCAATAAAGGCTTCAGCTATCTCTTCCCAGTTTTATTTCACAAAGTCCTCCAATTTCACATACTACATTGCAGCTATTCCAGACATGGTTCGGCCGAAGAGAGACAACTTCTGAGCTGGGGTCAAACCCATCGGCCTTAGTATATCAGAAAACAGGCAGAGGTGCACCATTGGGTCTCCAAAGCTGTCGAAGCGGTCGATATGCGGCATTTTAAACTGCTCCGGTAAAGCAACTGTAGATTTAGTATACTCGTCCTCTAAATTCATGATGGAGTTCACTCCTTGTGCTCATTTGAATAACTTCTCCAGTTTATTGACCTTAAGTGTAGTTGGGTCAATCTCAAATTCAAAAGGAGCTTTGGTTTGATAGACAGGAGCTTTAGAGGCTTGTGTTGGGATTGGCTCTGCCGGATTGTGTTGAGTCTCTTGGACATTAGCAGTATGGGCAGTGGCTCCAGGTGTCGGGTTACCCGTGGGAGGTGCATGAGATACAGAAGCTACTGCCAGTTGTGGTTGCTGTTGCTGAAGCCTATCTATCACTTCTGCCTGGCGGGCTACGACCTCAGCTTGGCGGGCTGTGACCTCAGCTTGGTGAGCAGCATCTTGCTGCAGTGCTTTAACTGTTTGCTATAGGTGCCGCATGAGTTCTTCCACACTAGATAGGGGCTATTGAGCCTCTTAAGGACAGAGTGTCACACACTCGACTTGGTCTTTTGATTTTAATTCGGTTCGATAAATAAATCCGGTATGTTATTTATTTGTTTTGTTTGAATTTATTTCAAGTTATTTTATTTACACAGAAGATTGTTCCAACAGTTGGATCATAAACTTTGCATCGAGCTCGAATGGCTATGGCTGAATTTGAAGAGGCTTTGGACTGTAGTGGAGAACAGCACCTTCAATTTACATTACAGGAAATTGCTTTTCTGCCGACTAAAAATTTAGTTAGCAAAAGTCCATTTTTCGTTGGCAAAAGTTAATTCGCGATTAATTTTTTTGATCGTCACTTTGGTCACCAATTGAGGGTCGGGAAATGTAATTAGCGACTAAAATTTTTTTAGTTGAGAAAAAATTATATTTACCGACTAAATTTTTGATCGCTGAATGTGACATTATCGCGATTGAACCATTTTATTGCTAAAACACTTTAGTCGCAAAAAGTGATATTTTCCCGACTAAATATGTTAGTTGCCAATTTTCATATTCCCTGACCAAAAGTATTAGTCATCAAAAGTAATATTTGCACGACTAAAACTTTAGTTGGCAATATACCTATTCGCGACTAAACACTTTGGTTGCCCAAATTAATAATTTTGCCAACTAATTATTTAGCCGCCAAATGTATCCTTTTGCCTACCAACCTTTTGGTTGCCAAATGTGAATAGTGAAACACCAACTAATCACTTGGTCGCCAAAAGAGGAAAAACCAAACCAAATTTTGGTCATCAATTCAAATCTTTTTGTTTATGAAAATAGAAATAAAATATAAAAAGAATTTCATTTGACCTGTATAATATATAATTATCCATCTAAACCATTCAATATAACTTGCAATTTGCAAGAATCATTCAAATCAACAAAATTAACTGAATCATGAACATCCAACAAAATACATAAATCAGCCATTATTTAACCTGTTTAATTAAAGTTATCAACTATTATAAGTTTTCATCCACAAGTAATTCCAAACCACATCACCATGCAATTAAAATGGTCATGTAATCTATATAATTATCCAATTCACATCCATGTAATATAAAAATTTAAAACATAACAAGTAGTTGTTATTATGTTTTAAATTTTTATCCATATGCATCTATCCAAAAATATGACTAGTAGTCTATCCAAATACTTTCTATACACATCTATCCAAAAATATATAGTCTTTCAAAAAAATGTAACAACTGCCAAATAGTCCTGCACAATTCAGCTTCGTACACGAGTTCATCCATCTGCACAAAAGAAAAACAAAAATAATGTTAGGTAATTTGTTTTATGAAAATATTTGCACATCACTCGGAGTACTATGATTTCAAGTAAATGCAACCCCTAAACAAAAACAACTAATCTGAGAGCTGAAGTACTTGTAATTTGAAGGATTATAATATTGTATCAAAAAATAAGAATAACGATTGTGCATTTTCTTGTATTTTTACTTGTCTCTTTGCTTTCAAATCAACAAAAATACTGCCACTATTTTCTAGACTTCTACAAAATAAAGACATAAAGGGTGTCTCAAATTTCTTTTGACCAGAAAATTTTGTAGAGCAGGAAAGCTCAGAAATATTCTCACAAGTATAGAAATCTTCAACTTTGTAACTTCTAGGTGTTTTTGAATCTTTGACAGCCATTAGATGATTAGAATTTGCTTCATTGCACATAATGAAGCAAAATAATGATGTAAGTAACACAGATTAATGACAATCATCGGTTAGAATTCAAAATATCACCCTCTTTGCTCAATTGTTGCTCTGAAATTAAGATGACCAGAAAATGATACTAATTCATTTTAGCATGAAAACAGATTAAACACTTATTATTTTAAAAGTTTCTTGTCCACCCATTTTCAGTCAACACCTTAGCATTCTCTATGATTATTCCGAGGTTGTTGATTGAATCCAAAAGTTAGTAATTATTCTATATTTATTCTAGAAAAATTCTCAATCATGATTGTAGTATGATTCTACAAAATTTAAGATCCTAATGTGATCCGAATTGTTTGGCTCAATTGGGGTTATGCAATTTAAGATCCTAGTGAGATCCGGGTTTTTGGCCCAATTGGCGTTATACAATTGTAAGATCCTACAATCCGCATTGTGATTATGATAACCAAACCCTACTAACATGCCATTCAAGATAAATTAATTTTGACTACTTTTTTCATAGACTTTGAAGATAAAACACGCTAGGCATGGCATCTAATAAGTAGTAGCATCAAACATCCCATTTTCATGATTTTTTTTTAAATTACCTAATATTGAAAATAAAATACATACATGGAACATCACAAAGTTCCTCATCCAAGAACAAAATAACAAAAAATGCTTTAAAATTAAGAACACCCTAAACGTGTTTACTTTAGAAAATCCTACCCTTTAAGTTTTACCACAAAATCAAAGAGATGAGATGAGAGGATTGAGTTTTACCCCAAAAAAATTGAGAAGTCCTCCAAGTGAACTAGACATCAAGAGAGCTGCTTCCTCTTCAATGGTCACAGAAGCACCAAGAGGGGCATTTGGGTTTTAAGTGTACAAGTGAGGAAAGCCTAAACCCTTTCAATGGAACCAAATGGAGTGTAAATATTTGTTGAAAGAAAGTGTTTAGAATCTATATAGCTTGAAAAGTGTCACAATGAAACCGTGAATTTTGGACTCAGATATCAAAGAAATATAGAATCTGTTGATAAATATCAAAAGACAAAAAGAGAGAGTGAAAAAGTGATCCCTAATTGAGAACTATATGAGTAGAATGGGTAAAAACAAATAACAAAACATTCTATGAAGTCTAAAGAATTTTAGGGAGAGGCAAAGAGGACAAAATCCAAACAAGAAAGCATAAAGTTTGAATCTCTTTCAAATCCTAAGCATATGTCAAGCTATGTAGTGTGCATATGTAGTTTGAATCTCTTTCAAATCTTAAGCATATGTCAAATCTTAAGCATTATGCCTTGTTGTGCCATTCAAATGCCATATGTAGTGTGCATCATATGCAGTGTGCAAATGTGGTCCAGTGACATCAACTCCACCAGGCACCAAAGCAGCTTGAACATAACCTTAGTGGCTGGTTAAGCAAAAAAGAATCAGGCCTTTTTGCATTGTAATCTTTTCACACAAAAAGTACCGATATTGTTGAGAAAAACAAACCTTGGATTATGTAACCTTACCTAAAAAGATGGGACTTTAAAAGGGTAAGAGCCATTACAACCCTTGATTCTTGACCAGTATGGTACCTGTGTAGTTGCAATTGGGAACTGAACATGTCTAGAACAACAATATTTTAGAAACTTAGTTCAAAATGGATGTAGTGCTGTAAAAGCTTAACAAATACATATATTTTGATATAGAAATTAAACTTGGAAATACTTGTCACTACCTCTGTATCACCAGCAGTGCCTGCTCCACAGCAGTAAATGTTGGGTACCATAAAATGGATTTTCTCACAATTCTTATCAGCAACAATGGGCCTTTCAGTGGCTCTTGTATCCACTCCAAGGATGACTCCATCTTGAAGATGATTTGAGAACAGTATAAAGTATGAGTTTAGGAAGCATCTATTCAATTAATCCACTACGAAGATTCTGTGAAGCAAATAGAGGAATACATGGGAGTAAAAAAAAAAATATTCCAACAAGTAGGAAAACATAAAAGTAATATTAATAAACCCAAGATATATTTGGTAGTTGAACCACTAGGCCATCAATTTCAATGAGAAAACCATCTATTTGTTTCCAATTGGTTCTAAATGTTCCTGTTCCAACCTATATCTACTTCAATCAATTGATCTTCTGATTTAAAGCCTAAATACTAACATCTTATTGATGATTTATTTCTATACTCATCACTGTCATCTGAAGCCACCGAAGAGTTTCACCATTCATCTCTATAGGCAAGAAGGCTTCACATGGAACGATCACAAGGGGACAAGAGGGCTTTACCACTATCCATATATCCTTCCAGATAGGATGTCATCTATTGAGTTCCTCCAATTATTCATTTTCCATAGGATATATGAAAAAACTATAATCTATAGCTACAGGAGTCATTTGAGTTTCTAGATTTGGATATCGAACTATGTAAGTTTTGATCACCATTTCAACCATGTGATCCTGTAATTTCCTCCCCTAATTTAGAATTGAATTAGAAAAGAACTTTCTTGATGCAATAGGAAAATTATCTTTCATAAAGTGTGGGAGCCAGAAAAAAATATATATATCCGCTTATTGGGGTTAACTCAAACAAAGCCTACAATAGGTCCAGTCCAAACAAATATCACACCCCCCATCTATATAAAGGGGGGGCATCCCAGAAGAAATGGTATGTGCTCTCTCCCTACACAACACACCAACACTTTTGATTTCCATAGCTCTATTCTTTCAATCAAAGGACTAACTTTAGCATCGGAGTGTCTCTGGGCGGCAACCCCGGTTGAGTGGCGCCGATGCTTATCTGTGCAGGTCTACTGGAGTAAAGTTTATCTCTTCGTTGGATCTCTACAATCCATGTGAGAGGATATTTCATGGTCTCACAATTGGCACCGTCGGTGGGAAAGAGCTAAAGAATTCAACGAAGAGAAGAATTAATACGACACCCAAGGTACTCGGACCAGTGAGCACTAAGGTTAACTATTCTCTTTCTAAAAAAGGAGACCCACAACTGAGTTTTTGGCTTCTTTTATTCTGATTATATTTTTTGCTAAAGTTCAAGTATACATATATATATATATATACATATATACACGTCTATGTATGTATCTATTTATGCTCACAGATTTGATCAAACCCTTGTTGAATATTAATATTGCTTAGAAAGGTTGTCAAAACAAGATGAAGTTAGTAGCTATTTTCTCTCTCTAAAAATGAGTTTCACACCTTTCTTGGTGCAAACCTCTTTTCGGCAATTCAATAAAGTTACTCGGCTAAATTCATACGTGGGTCTGTCCATTTATTTATTTATTCTTTTTTCTCAAAACTTAGCTTAAAGTTGATTCTTAACATGTGTGCACGTGTACCTATGCTAAAACTTTCTGTAGAATCCAAGGTTGGGTCTTTAATTTTCCTCTCTCTAGAATGGACCATGAGTTATGATAAAAACAAATTATTATTCTTATTTAATTAATTGTGGTAGTTGGCGGGCCATATATATATATATATATATGGATATAAATTCAAACAGATCTGGAGGCAGCAACTTCAATTGTCATGAATGGCTCATGTTGATGCCAATCAAAATCTCTACAAAACCGTTTAGCACCCATAACAAGCTAGCCTTTTCTCGGCGCTTATCACAAATGCAAACATCTTTCACCAAAGCTTGACTAGCTGTCGAGCACCCCGAGTCACTGCCGATTTTCCAAACTCACCAAGCGGACTTGTGACAATCTCTCGGTAAAAGGTGCAAGCCATTCAGTGTCAATGAAAGGCCAATAATAAGATTCACCGAGCACGCATAAAATTGAAGCTCATTCCGATCACACCAAGATTCTTCGGCGAAATCACCCATGTCACTCGACCATGTTGGCATCTCCCAAGAACTGTTGTCCGGCAATGGCTTTGGCCACCTTAATCAAGCTTGGCAATGAACCATTTGACCGCAACACTTCCGATTTCAGCAATCACAACCCGTTTACAAAAATCTTTAGCCGCTGCAAGTTTGCCGAGTTACTTACATTGCGCAACCACGCTTTACTCTCATTCTGCAACATTGAAGAGCCGAACACACGCACACGCACACACACAAAAAAAAAAGGGTAGATCAATCTTAGTTTTGGTCAACTTTCGGAGGTCCAACAACATCTAATTTGAGGCGGAATGATGCGTCTGAATAGTGGAATGAGCACTAGGGCAAGTGATGAATCCAACACTACAAAAATGAGACCAATCGGACTTAAAACGAGGAAGTTACAAGGGCTCAAAGTTAGGAATTTGAATATAAAATTCTGCATTTCTTGACCTGTTGTTGCATGAAAAATTCGGCTTTAATTCATCAATACTATTTGGTAGTACCACAACTCCTAGAAGAGTACTTGGTAAAGATACAAAGCTACAAAGCTGCTCGGTAGTGCCATTCCTCGTACAAGGAAACTCGGCATCTCTGCCACCTTGTTGTGGCGGCGTAACTTGCAGAGTCTACTCGGCAACCATTCCACACTAACCGGCCATTCAATCACGACCTCCGCCCTCGTTTATTAATTCATCACTCAAACCTTGTCTAACGCCCTTCTGAACTACAATGCCGAGAACCAAGGGCTTCGGCTAACCAAAATGTCGCCGACCACGTTTATGTACCCATTTTCTCTCTCTAGTAAGTGGGTCTACATTTTTCTTCATACGAGTAAGAATTTCGTAGCCTACCAGCAGGTTCACGTCGACTAGCGGAGTCTACAAACACCAACTGGTAAAGCCACAAACTAACCGTAGGCCGTCGATAGTTGCGAAATCGACAAAATGTCCAGAAATTGACATTTTTCAGTGTTGTCGAACTCAATCTTTGACTATACCAGTGTGAAGTCCTCATCCAGACGAGTCCAACGCCACAAACTGCGTCAAAATCGGACTTAAAACGAAGGAGATACAGGGCCTCAAAGTCACGAGTTCGAAATTGGAACATTCTGCCTTTCACGACATGCAGCAGGAAGATGATAAAATAAGGATTAATCATGCGCTTCTCGGCACAACGTGCTCCGTTGTATCTTACCGCATTCCAGCTAATCGGATGGTCCAATAATTTTGAGGATGCCTGCCCTCTAAGTTTTTTGCCGTGGAGGTCCAATTTTGTGAATTTCGAGTATTAGCTTGGGATTAATCAACTGGAAAATCGGGAACGTTAAATGATAGATCAATGGTCAAATCATGTTCGATTAGCGTGCAATTTTGACAGCAGCCTCCAGGAGCTAAGCCACAATTATCCATTTTCACCGATCATTCACCCCAACTTGAATTTCTTTTACATTCGGCTATCACAACTACGCATATTCGGCAACTACCAACGAACCAACTTACATCCATAGGCCCAACGAACAATTTGGCAACTTATTGGCTTATTTGGCAATTTTATTGGCTTATTCGGCATATTATCAACAAGGAGTTTCGACAACTTATTGACTTATTCAGAAATTTTTATTCACTGCATATTATCACTCGGCTTCGACAACTTTTATTCAGCATATTATCCACAAAGCTCCGACAACTTATTCGGCTTATTTGGCCACTTACTCGGCATATTAGAACCTACAAATCCACATATTATCAATTCACAACTTATTCGGTATATTACCGCTGCAATCCACAGATCATTTGGCATATTATCAAGAGCAAATTAATATTAACTTTGCATTTTATCTAGCATGGACAACTTGTTTGGTACTACGATCTCAACGTAAAACTAGCACATCGGCTTATCGAAATCCACATCTAAACATACCACAGGATTTTTATCGGCTCAAAGAGTCCAAACCCACCAACCCGAGAAGTCAAGAAGTAATCAAAGTATGCCAAAAATTATGATACGGCTCACATTTTCCGACAACTGAAATTTTTACGTTGGACAAGAAAATCAACTTCAATAAATTAGCAACCATTGCAACCAAGTTCTTAGCAAATCCAACTTCGAAGGGATCCCGACACACCGCGAAGCTAAGAAAAATCGCCAACCAAAAGATCGGCACAATCACCTACCCAAGTGTAGCTGACCAACTTTTCGGCAAAATCACATTATATATAAAACGGACACCGATGTTTTGACACTAGTTACTTGGCAATGCATCAACTTTATTTGTCAACTTTATGCAGCAACATTGACCACAGTATTCGGTAACTTTATTCTCCTAACAATATTATTCAGCAAAAAATTGCCCACTGGGACATCTTAGTCAATTTTCCGCTTTCTAATTGGGGCAAATCAGCTGATCATCTTCTCGGCACCTCTGCTATACATGCTTACTCGGCCAACTTGGTCCAAACATTACAACGACATTTACTTGAGTTACAAACTCCCGCTCCTTTTCACATAGCTCGAAGCAAGCGCCAGTTTTTAGGGCAATACATTACACGCTTGGCAGTTCGCATATTTTTATGCCCCGTCATTTTACCAAAGCCGAATTTTCCCTGTAACATAGGGCAATGGGGCAAGTCCAATTTGCATTCCTTCCGACTAACACCTGTCATTCAAAAGCAACGGGGCTAGTCTACCTTAGACTAAACGCAAACCGTGCAACTCAGCAATTAAATAGTTGGCCCAATATCTACTTGGCAATTCCTTACAAGCAGAGCAATATTATTTGTGATTAACACGTCTACCTCATTCGGTACAGGCCATCACTGACACAGAATGCATTATTCAAAATCCTTGCAAAATTAGCACTTGATCGCCGCTTAAAATTAGCATAAGTCTCTGAGTACAGCGTAATCTTCGCATTCAGCATGGAGCGCCATCAGCAAAGGCCTACACCCTTGCTCGGGGGTAATAATACCGCAGGCCTACACCCTCGCCCGAGGGTAATAATACCGCAGGCTTACACCCTCGCCCCGGGGGTAATAATACCACAGGCCTACATCCTTGCCCGAGGGTAATAATACCACAGGCCTACACTCTCACCCGGGGGTAATAATACCGTGGTCCATTTTTATGATTTGTTTGGAACTCATGTGATATAATTTTATCCTATGATAGACATATGCATATTTATACATACATTCAAGACATACATACATACATTCAAGACATACATACATTTATGCATACATTCAAGCATACATGCAGTCATTCATTCATACATTTTATTCATTTATCCACAGTGTTCTTTATCAAAAAACCTAACAGCTATTTGAACAGCTTAACTCGGCAAGAAAAACTCTCATTCCTTCTACCGTAGACAATGAAAGTTTTGGGACAATTGTGGGAGCCAGAAAAAAATATATATATCTGCTTATTGGGGTTAACTCAAACAAAGCCTACAATGGGTCCAACCCAAACAAATAACACACCCCTCCATCTATATAAACGGGGGCATCCCAGAAGAAATGATATGTGCTCTCTCCCTACACTACACACCAACACTCTTGATTTCCATAGCTCTATTCTTTCAATCAAAGGACTAACTTTAGCATCGAAGTGTCTCTGGCCGGCAACCTTGGTTGGGTGGTGCCGATCATGCTCATCTGTGCAGGTCTACTGGAGTAAAGTTCATCTCTTCGTTGGATCTAAGTTCATCTCTTCGTTGGATCTCTACAATCCATGTGAGAGGATATTTCATGGTCTCACATAAAGGTACTCTTTAGTTTTGCCCCTTTCAGCCACAGAAACAACAATCATTTGATATTATGTCAAGGTTTACTATACATTCATGTATAGATTATAAAGGTGGGCTATTTTGTAGTTACATTTCATCTTTCCAACTATCTACCCACGGACCTTATTAGTACATATATTTCATAAGACCCCGTTTTCCAACCCTGTTCCTCAGACATACATTCAGATCACGTCACACAAAAAATGATAATTTTATTAATCACGTGGTCAATGGAATCATTGTTTAACTACTATACCAGTAACTAAACAACCAATCAAGTAATGGCGAAAACTTGAAATTGATTAATAAGCAAAGAAACCACCATAAGCTATCAGGCTACATGCCACTACAGTGAAATTCAAAATGAAGTCACACATGCCTGGAAAATTAAACCAACAACGGTAGTACCAGTCTTGAGAAACTTCGGAGCCTGGAGACCTTTCTTCGAGAGCATTTCATTCCTTCTACACAGGTCAAAGCTAAATCCACCCTTCAAAGGAACATCTACTGCTGCCTTGGACATTTTGAATCATACACAAACCTATTCATACAAAATCAAACCCATACAACATTAAACCCATAAAACTCTAGAAATCAAACCAATTAAACCAAATCCATTTAAGAAATCAACAGAAAATTAAACTGAATAAATCATTTCAAATCTTAGAGCAAGAGTGAGAAATGGAAAAATAGAGGAAGAATATCAAACCCTAGAGCAAGAGTAAGAAATGGGGGAAATAGTGGAAGAATATCAAACCCTAGAGCAAGAGTAAGAAATGTGGAGAGAGAGAGAGAGAGAGAGAGAGAGAGAGAGAACTTGGTATTATGGCGGTGGCGGTGGCGGTGGTGGTGGCGGCGGTGGTGATTTGCGGCGAGACAAGAGAGAGAGAGAGAGAGACAAACAGACAGAGAAAGAGACAGAGAGGAAGAAAACCTGAATGTAAGCTGGAGGCGAGACAATGGTGATGTGAGACTGTGATTTGCGGTAGTAGCAATGTACGGCGTCGCATGGCGATGAGCGATGGTAAGATGATCGGATCACGGTGAGGCAAGGTAAGGTTTGGTGGTGTTTGATTTTGTGAGAGAGAGATATAGAGCGCAAATGAGAACCTGTTTGTATTCCAAATAGATTTGATTCAAAAAAATAATAATAAATAAATAAAAATAATGGCGCCAATCTGAAAATTTTTCTCAGTTCAAAAAAAAAAAATCTGAAATTTTCCTTTTCATCTTTTGGCGACTAAAATATTTTTTAGTTGTTGAAAATATATTTTTGGCAACCAAACTTTTGGTCGCCAAAAATAAAAAGTAAATTTTTTTTTTCATTCAGCGACTTTATAATTTTAGTAGCCAAAACTAACTATACAACGACTAAAATATTTTTTAGTCTCTGAAAATAAATATTTAGCGACCAAATTTTTTGTTGCCAAAGATAAAAAGTAAATTTTTAAGGCGATTAAATAATTTCAGTAGCCAAAACTAACTATACAGCGACTAAAATCCATATTTGGCGACCAAAAGTTTGGTCGCCAAAAATAAAAAGTAAATTTTTGTTTTTCATTCGGCGACTAAATAATTTTAGTAGCCAAAACTAACTATACGACAACTAAAATATTTTTTAGTCGCTAAAAATAAATATTTGGCGACCAAACTTTTGATCGCCGAAAATAAAAAGTAGATTTTTTTTTATTCGGCGACTAAATAATTTTAGTAGCCAAAATTAATTATACAATGACTAAAATACTTTTTTAGTCGCCAATTGTGGCAAATTTAGCAACTAATTTTTTTTTAGTCGCCAATTGTTGCATTTTTAGCAACTAAATTTTTTTTTAGTCACTAATAATCAATATACCCTGACTAAAAAAATTAAGTAGCTAAATATTGTACTTTTGCCTACCAACATACTCTTTGGTTGCCAATTCCACAACTTTTGGCGACCAAAATATTTTTAGTTAGCAGAAATGGTCACCAAAAGTGTATTTTCTTGTAGTGTTACTATGAGGGATCTAGGTAGAAATGGTAGTTGGCAACCTTCTGCTAATGGGGTTTTCAAGGTTAGTTGTGATGTGGTGAAGGGGCAAAATATAAACGGGTCAGATCCAAGCCTTGGGTTGGTCTAATCCTTTAAACCCAAGTCCAAGTGGGTCAGGTAAGTGTAAGGGTAAGCCAATCAAGCCCAACTCCACGATCAACAGTCCACCCCAAGTCCTCAAGCACTTGGGCCCAACTTGCAGTGGAAATGTCAGTCCAGCTATGACGCTAAGTTAGGCCGAGCTACAAGACTCAATCTTTGGACTGAACTGATGGGCCGAATCCATCACCAAAACCAAAGTGGGCCGAGCCCACACAAAGATATCTAAATAGGCCAGCCCATCTCTATAAGCAGTCTCACAAAGGGCCGAGCTGAGGCACAACGGTACCAAGTTGAGGGAACCTCTCAAAAAAACATGGAAACTATGAATGCATGGATGTGCAGGTTGCTACCTCAGCTGGTCCCCTCTCTCTAGAATCACGGAAATGGTTGATCAGGGGAATGTGGTTTGTTATCACCATGAATACAACGAATATATGCATCCATTGTCAACTACTTCACGGTCTCCTACCTTGAGTAATGTTAAAGGGAGCATGGCAACACCAAAGTCTCATGAAACCATCTTGGGCAACAAGTAAGGAATTCTATATAAACTACAAGGACTTCATATTGAAGGTAACAAAGTGGAGCTACAACATACTTACTTGAACATATCTCTCTGCACTTAGAGAGAACATTCCATCTTCTCCGATCGCTTACTCTCACATCGGAAGGGTTATCTGGCCAACTCCGGCCTGGCAGCTCTAACGGTGTTCACTGTTGTAGGGTCTCGATTATTGGATAGTCCAGTCGGGTGCGGAGCTCCGGTCCATAATCATTTAGTGCGGTATTCAGTACGTACAATTGTTGCGGTGAGCGTAGATCCTTGATCTTAGAGTTTTGCATCTGATTTCGGCGATGGGAATTGAGGATATTCCACCCTCGGCATTGACTCCATAAACAGAGAAGACGAATAATAAGGGCCCGGCGCTGCAAACAGTTCTGCAGGAGCAGACCGGAAACAACAATCGGACTCCAGAATTTGTTGAGCATCTATAGCCCTTTGCTGGTGGTTCTTCCTATCATTTTTTGTTGGAGAAAGATTATAGAGATCGTATCATCGATTCAATGGGAATGGAGATACAAGAACTAAAAGCACAGCTCAAAAGGATAATGGGCAACCCGACGGAGAAGAGGGACGAACGCAGAATCCTCTCGTATGCGCCGGAGGAGCCCATCCCAGGAACCACCAGTGAAGAAAGTCTCCAGAAATGAATCTGGGCAACAAAGTCAACCAATCACGGTACAAAGTGAAGCAACGAGCAACCACACCTGTGGTTCATACCGGAGAAGAGCTAAGAGGCAAAAAATGGCCAGCCAGCAGAGAGAGTATCCTCCTCAGGATCTCTGTACTTGGTTGGTAGGGAATAGACAAAATGAGCAACGACGAGAGTGTCAGGCTCAGCACCTTGATCGTACTGTCTATTAGAGGGAGCATCAAATACTGGATCGGCTCGTCTCCTCTCATTTCTTCCCAGATATCGAAGCTATGAGACTTCCCAAGAAGTTCACTCCAGCAAAATTCAAGTCATATGATGGGAAGTCAGACCCACTAACACATATCAGCCATTATCGACAGATGATGTCCTTGTGAAGTCAAGATGAGGCACTACTGTGCAAAGTCTTTCCATCCAACTTGGGAGAATTCGGACTCTGATGGTTTGATCGTCTCCCTGCTGGATTGATTTACGAATGGAAGTGGCTCTTTGAAGAGTTCTTGACCAGATTTGTTTCTAACACCAACATCTCGAAAGAGCCGGACACCTTGTTCAGTCTCCAAAAGGAACAGGAGGAAACACTACGTAATTATGCAAGAAGGTACTGGGAAAAGTATAATGATTTCGAAGAAAATGTCTACAGTGAATAGATAGCTGTAATGTCTTTTAAACATGGACTGCATCCGGAAAGCAAGTTGAGACAATCATTTACCAAATGCCCAGCCACAATACTAAAGGGCTTACGTGCCAAGATTAAGTAGTATCCTCGCCTTGAAAATTATCAGATCCCCATCGAAGTGGCATCAGCCGAACAGACAACTCGGGAAAACAGAAGAAGAGCAGATCAAGAGGAACCTCGAGGAGTCGCGGTGAATGAAGTAGACAAGTCTAAATCCCACGAAGCAGTTGTTACAGTATTCAAGGAACCTATCTATTGTATTATGGAAAAATCAAGAGAGAGTCGTTCTTTACTTGGCCACCAAAGATGCTAGAAAACCCAGCTTGGTGCAACCAAAAGCTCAGATGCCCTATCATCAGGACAAGGGACATATGACTCAGAATTGCCAAGCATTGAAGCAACACCTGGAGGAATTGGTAGCTACGGGGTACCTCCAAGAATACATTCATCCAGACAAAGTGGTAACCGAGTAGGGGAATCCTCCACCAGAACCAAACGCAGAGCATCAACCTCGATTGATCATAAATGTAATTCATGGCACAACCAGTCACGAGCGAGAAGAGACACTTCAGGAAGAAATTACAAACGCTGTACAGATTTAGCAAGTCATGTCAGTGGGTCCGACACCGAAAATGTACGAACAATACCTAAGACTCCCTTCTGTACTATTTTATTTACTCAGAAGGACGTAAAAGGAATTTAGCACTCACATAATGATGTATTGATTATAACTGTAGGAATTAGGAAATGATTCGACGTGAAACGAGTCTTGGTAGACTAGGGTAGCGCAGCAGATATATTGTATTACGACTTGTTCAGGAAGATCGGTCTCTCTGAGCAGCACCTCACCCCATCGACAGCTCCGTTAATTAGTTTTAATTTGCAGCCTAAATGGCTACTTGGCAGGATAGTGTTGGCAGTTGTGGCGGGGACAAAGATCCTTCAGATAGAATTCCTGGTTATTAACACACTGTTTCCTTACAACGCAATACTTGGTCGACCTTGGATTCATCAAATGAAAACAGTCCCCTCAACCTACCACCAGCTCATCCGCTTCCCGATAGAACACGGTGTAGAACAGATCTCAGGGGACCAAGTTGCATCCAAGCATTGTTTTATAGCAGCCATGAAGGTTAAACAGCTCTGCAATCAGGTTCAGACAGTTGAAGTAGCAGAACAACCGGTCTTGGAAGATGTCAGAGGAACCCCAACTGAGAAGATAGTAGAGAATTTGGAGAAAGTTTTAGTAAAGGAAGATGACCCAGAAAAGTACTTCTTTATCAGTACCTCACTAAGCGCTGATGAGAAACTTCAGCTGCTGGATATGCTGAGGGACAATATGGAGGTATTCGTATGGTCAACATATAATACTTCAGGGTTGAATCCATAATTTGCTTGCCATAAACTCAATGTCAACCTTTCAGCTCGGCCCATTGTGTAGAAAAGCCGAAGATCTTCAGTTGAGCACATTGAAGTAGTAATTGCAGAAGTCGACAAACTTCTAGCGACGGGGGAATCTGAGAAATTCAGTACCCGCAGTGGCTGTCCAACACAATCGTAGTCAAAAAGAAAAACAGAAAGTGGAGAGTCTTGGTTGACTTTACTTACCTCAACAAAGCTTGTCCAAAAGACAGCTTCTTTCTGCCTCGCATAGTGTAGCATACCCGGGAGGTACCCGCGCTCGTTAAATAGTTTGGACTCCCGAGATCTCTTTGATCTAGTCTCATTAGTGCAATGTGAAACATAGATGAGAGTCCAGATTTGGCA